TATATATATATATATATTTTTTTTTATTTCTTTCTTATATCTTCATCTTCCTGTGTTACGAATTAATATCTTCGAGGGAATGTAAATTTTTTTCGTTCAATCCGAGAAATTCCAACGAAAGAACAAATTCAAACTTTCATTTCTTCTTTTCGAAATTTTGTGTTTTTTTTTTTTTTCGAAAGTTTGAGATTATTTTTGATTCCTTATTTTTTTTCTTTTTTTTTTCTTTTCCTTTTCAACATTTTCGAATATGTTAATTTTTAAATTGGAAGATTGTCTCATTTCTTTTTTCTTTTAATCATTAGTATTTTTTTGTGTGTGATTTAATTTTCATTTAATAGTAAAACCATTTTAATTACATTACTCTGTCTAGTCTATTAATATATATATATATATATTTCAATTTCTATTATTAATTACGTCATTTCCTATATTATTCCTAACGTGTTCTATTCTATTTTGTAAATATTTTCTTTACTAATTAAATTATACACTCAATAAAAAAATCGTAGAATTATAAGATCGATCACGAAGAAAAATGATTTTCTTTAAATATTGAATACAATAATTAATAAAAATGATTGAATAATAGTCAATCAAAATGAGACAGTATTATTTAAGAAATTAAAACGTAAAATATCTTCCGTCTTCCATATAACAATTTTCATAATTTAATAATAACTGTAATATAGCGTGCGAAATTGGGCAAAATTATTTTTGTCATAGTTGAACAAAGGGATCAACCACATTAATAATGCGAGAGAGAGAGAGAGAGAGAGAGAGAGAGATAAATAAGACGATAGAAAAAAGAAAAATGAACGAAAATAAAAAAGAAAGAAGAAAAAAAGGAGGCAGAAGTAAAAAAAGAAAAGAAAAAAAAGAAAAAAAAAAAGGAAAAGAAAGGATCTGGGACAGCTTCCGCGACAGGTTGTACCGAGAAACGGTGCATGTCTTCGTTGAAATAAAAAAGGTTCCTTGGCCATTGTTACATATAATAATATAACGGGGTTATGGTTTCAAAGGTTAGAGTGTCTTACACAGGATTGACGTCTTTGGAGAAATAGAGAGAGAGAGACAAATAGAGAAGAAAAAAAAAGAGAGAAGAAACGGAGGATAACGAGATGGATCTGCACAAGAAGAAAAAGAAAAAGAAAAAGAAGAAGAAAAAGAAAAAGAATAAGAAAAAGGAAGAGAATTGGTTGATAGTTCTTACTCGTGGAACCGAGTGAATGAAACAGTTAAAAGACTAAATCCATGATGGAAGAAAAGGAACCAAGTGTTGGTTAAAGGTCTATAGTATTTCATGCGACAAACCGGTGACCTAAATTTTTCGAGCTTATGTTATAATAAAGGGCCAGCAGAAGGTTTTCTCCTCTTCCTCTTATTCTTCTTTTTCTTTTTAACTTTGCTTCTTCTTCTTCTTTTTCTTCATATCCATATTCTCATATTAATATTCGTTTAATAATAAAAGATTTACAGGAACATAATTTGCGATTCCTTTGCCATTGCCTGTGATCTTTTTCTTCTTCTTCTTCTTCTTAATATTATTATTATTTTATTTTTCACTTTTTTCTTTTCCCCCATCATGTGTGTGGTAGCGCGAACGAACTTGAAAATGAATATATATATATGTATATATATATTTATTTTCATCCTCTTCTCTTTTTTTTTTCTTCTTACAGGTTGAGATCGCATTTCACTGCATCATCTTCTAAAAAAGCCAAACAAGTGTCAGCAATTCAACCGCTGCTCGACCATCCATCCATCCAACCAACCAACCAACCAACCAACCAACTTAGTTAGCTAACATTCTGAGATTTTCTTATTCGGAAAAGTCATTGATATTCAGCATGCGTAGATAAAGGATTGGATGTTATCGAGTTGTGAGACCGATCAACAACTGCAACGTGATATTATTGTAAATTGTTGTTCTCATGTGGATTCAGCTGTTCTATTATTTTCTGTTCTGTATCGACTATTGATATAGATAATCAGTATTAACAAATATTATTCTCTATTCAAATTTTTTTTTTCCCTAGCCTCGACGTATTATCGCACCCCTTTTTTTTTTCACCTCACCTCTTTCAGTAACAGAAAAAAAAAACAAACGTGTAAGGAAATGTACGACAACTACTGTTAATAAATCGATTAATTA